TTAGTTCTGGTTTAGACCTGTTTTAGTCTTTGTTGAGTCCTGGTTTGGTCTTCTTTTAGTCCTGTTTTAGTCCTGTTTTAGACCTGGTTTAGCCCTTGGTTTAGTCCTGTTTTAGTCCTGGTTCAGACCTGGTTTAGACCTGGTTTAGACCTTGTTTTAGTCCTGTTTTAGACCTGATTTAGACCTGGTTTAGCCCTTGGTTTAGTCCTGTTTTAGTCCTGGTTCAGACCAGTTTTAGTCCTGGTTTAAACCATAGTTTGAACCTGTTTTAGTCCTGGTTTAGACCTGATTTAGTCCTGGTTTAGACCTTGGTTTAGTCCTGGTTTAGTCCTGTTTTAGTCTTTGTTGAGTCCTGATTTGGTCCTGTTTTAGACTTGGTTTCATCCTGGTTCAGTCCTGGTTTAGTTCTGGTTTAGACCTGTTTTAGTCCTGGTTCAGTCCTGGTTCAGTCCTGGTTTAGACCTGATTTAGTCCTGGTTTAGACCTGATTTAGTCCTGGTTTAGACCTGATTTAGACCTGGTTTCATCCTGGTTCAGTCCTGGTTTAGTTCTGGTTTAGACCTGTTTTAGTCTTTGTTGAGTCCTGATTTGGTCTTGTTTTAGTCCTGTTTTAGACCTGATTTAGACCTGATTTTTTCCTGATTTAGACCTGGTTTAGTCCTGTTTTTTATTCAGAACGGCGTCTTGTCAACTTAAGTCGACAGCGGCGCCTCGAGGTTTAATGCCACACTGCGAAACATTCCAGACAAAACAACAACATCTCCGTGCAGAAAAGCCTTTGTTTTTGACCGACCCTCCACCAGAAAAGTTCCACAGTGCACCTTTAACTAAAGTAAAACTGAAAAAACTGAGCACAGGTGGAATCCGCTGAACCGAACCACAATTACAAACTTCACTTTAGTGTATGTGTCGCCGTGGAGACGAGGAAGCGCCGCCTCCGGGCTCGTTATCGATCAGGAGTCTGTGATACGACGTACGGGGACCAGAGCGGCGCTTTAAAGACCAAAATATTATCTGAGATCGATACGAGAAGAAAAGAGAGAAGCGAGAGTCTGATCAGGAGAGGAACCGGAGAAAAACAGAAAAACAGAGTAATTTTAGGAGTAATTGTATAATTGTGGGTTTGTCATCGACTCGTTTACCTCGTCTCATGAACTGAACTCTTCTGTGTGCAGAGTAACGAGCAGAGGAACAAACTGGACTGAACCAGGACTAAAACAAGACTGAACCAGGACTAAAACAGGACTAAACCAGGACTAAACCAGGACTAAACCAGGACTGAACCAGGACTGAATCAGGACTAAAACAGGACTGAATCAGAACTAAAATGGGACTAAAACCAGGACTAAACCAGGACTGAACAAAGATTAACACAGGACTAAAACAGGACTAAATCAGGACTGAGGTCTAAATCAGGTCTAAATCAGGACTAAATTAGGTCTAAATCAGGACTAAATCATGTCTAAATCAGGACTAAATCAGGACTAAATCAGGTCTAAATCAGGTCTAAATCAGGACTAAATTAGGTCTAAATCAGGACTAAATCATGTCTAAATCAGGTCTAAATCAGGACTAAATCAGGTCTAAATCAGGACTAAATCAGGACTAAATCAGGTCTAAATCAGGATCTAAATCAGGACTAAATCAGGTCTAAATCAGGTCTAAATCATGACTAAATCAGGACTAAATCAGGTCTAAATCAGGTCTAAATCAGGTCTAAATCAGGACTAAATCAGGACTAAATCAGGTCTAAATCAGGACTAAATCAGGTCTAAATCAGGTCTAAATCAGGACTAAATCAGGACTAAATCAGGTCTAACACGCCACAAACACGCCCCCTGTGGCCAGAGCTGGACCTGGACCTGGACCTGGACCTGGACCTGGACAGAGCCACAGGCAGCTGAAAGGACCCGGATCACAGAGGCGGAACCAAGAACAGAAACACAGAGAGAGAAACATTTAAAGAGTCCATGTCGTTTTATGATCTGTTACAAAGTATAATGTATAACTTCATGACATCACAAGGTGGAACAGAGCATTCTGAGTGTTAGAGATAGAGGTCTAAACCAGGACTAAATCAGGTCTAAACCAAAACTAAACCAGGACTGAAACAGGCCAAAACAGAGCCAAACAAAGCCAGGGTTAAGAAAGGATTTAAACAGGAAAAACTAAGGACTTAACCAGGTCTACACCAGGTCTAAAATGGGTCTAAAATAGACCTAAATCAGGACTAAACCAGGTCTGAACCAGAATTAAACCAGGTCTAAATCAGAACTAAACCGGGACTAAACCAGGACTAAAACAGGACTAAACCAGGTCTAAACCAAGACTAAAAAAAGACTGAAACAGGACTACAATGAGTCTAAACCAGGTCTAAACAAGGACTAAAACAGGACTAAAACAGGACTAAAAAAGGACTGAAATAGGACTATATGGAGCCTAATCCAGGTCTAAACCAGGACTACAACAGGACTAAAGACAGGACGACATCGAGTCTAGACTAGGAATTTATCAGGACTAAACCAGGACTAAACCAGGTCTAAACCAAACTAAGAAAAGGACTGAAACCAGGACTAGAATCAGGTCTGTTTTATTTTTAATAGTTTCTCTGTGTGACCAGACGCTCAAATAAAAGTTAATGAAATGAAATTGAATAAACTGTGAATAAAATTATTTTCTCTGAGAGAAAAACAGGTTTTTCTATTTTAGTTTTATTGTTTTTCTAATTGAACCACGTCGGCCGAACCTGAAACCCCGAACAACTCCCACTGACTGAGGTTAAACAAGAGGCACAGGACTAAACCAGGACTAAACCAGGACTAAACCAGGACTAAACCAGGACTAAACCAGGTCTAAACCAGGACTAAAAGGACTAAACCAGGACTAAAACCAGGTCTAAACCAGGACTAAACCAGGTCTAAACCAGGTCTAAACCAGGACTAAACCAGGACTAAACCAGGACTAAACCAGGTCTAAACCAGGACTAAAACCAGGTCTAAACCAGGACTAAACCAGGACTAAAACCAGGACTAAACCAGGACTAAAACCAGGTCTAAACCAGGACTAAACCAGGGAACTAAACAGGTCTAAACAGGACTAAAAGGAACCAGGTCTAAACCAGGACTAAACCAGGACTAAAACAGGTCTAAAACAGGACTAAAACAGGACTAAAACAGATTTAAATCAAGACTGAAACAGAATTAAACCAAGACTAATTCAGGTCTAAAACAAGACTAAAACAGATCTAAATGAGGTCTACAAAAAATGACTAAACCAGGACTAAAACAGGTTTAAACAAGATCTAAAAAAGGTCTAAAACAAGACAAAAAGAGGTTTTACAAAAAAGTAGTAAATCAGGACTAAAACAAGTTTAAATCTGCTCTAAAAAAAAAAAAACTAAACCACGACTAAAACAGAACTAAACCAGGTCTAAACTGGGATTACGGACTAAACCAAGACTAAAACAGATCCAAAATAGTACTAAACCAGGTCTAAACCAGGACTAAAACAGGATAGAAATGTTATTAAACCCGGACTACAGGTTTAAACCAGGACTAGAACAGTTTTATTGTGTTTTCCTCATTGATCCGCGTGGGCTGAGTCTTAAACTCTGATCATCTCTCGGTGTCCAGTGATTCAGAGGTGAACCACGGCCCAGAGGCACTTTTACTCACGTCAGTACCACGAGGAAAGTCAAGGGTAAAAGACAAATCTGGAAATAATGAGCAATTAAAGCTGCACTGCGGGACATTTCCGGTGTTTAATCCAAATTACGAACGTAAACACATGGAGCTGTGTTTCGTTTCGTAAGTTTAACGCACAAGTCCCGGTTTTAAAGTCCACACACCTTCGCTAGAATCATCTGGATCATTTCACACCCGGAGTTGCCTGAACTAAATGTAAAAAAAAGGAGATGTAAACTAAAAAAAAAACTACCACTTCATGACATCACAAGGTGCAACAGGGCATTTTGATCTTTGGAGATGTAACGATGTAATGATAAAGAGTGACTCAAACCTGTGGGAATGGAACAAAACACAACTCCAGAATCCGTGGGTCATTCGTTCATTCGTTTTTCAAAATAAAACCAAAACCAGGACTAAACCTGGACTGAACCAGGACTGATTCCAGGACTAAACCAGGAGGACTAAACCAGGTCTAAAAGAGGATTAAAACAGGACTAAAACAGGATTAAAACAGGACTAAACCAGGACTAAACCAAAACTAAACCAGGACTGAACCAGGACTAAACCAGGACTGAACCAGGACTGATTCCAGAACTAAACCAGGACTAAACCAGGATTAAACCAGGACTAAACCAAGACTGAACTAGGACTAAACCAGGACTGATTCCAGGACTAAACCAGGATTAAAACAGGATTAGAACAGGACTAAACCAGTACTGAACTAGGACTAAAACAGGACTAATCCCAGGACTGAACCAGAGATGAACTAGACATCGTGATTTGTAGTGATTTGTCCGACTATTTTATTTTATTTTATTATGTTTTATTATTATTAGTCTAGAATTATTTCACTCTATATTTTGTTATTTTAATGAGAAAGTGGTCTAGTTTATTATTATTATTATTATTATTATTATTAGTATTATTAATTTAATTTATTTATTTATTTACACACAGAAAATACAAAGTAGTTAGTTAATACAATTTTATTCAACAAAATAATGAGAAAACGGACTGAAATTAGTTTCGAGAGGTGTTTCCATGGTAACGCAGCATCGGTTTCCTGTTTCGCTGCTGCCCTCTGGTGGACAAACCCAGGAAGTGCGCTTTTTACCGGTTTGAATCGCCTTTTAAATCAATATACAACAATAAACTAGAATAGGTAATTATATTTTTGTAACACGGGATGATTTTAATATTTAGGAATGTGTAAAATATTTGTAAAAGCCAAATATTGATTTTAATTTTGAAAAATATAGAGTTAATTAACGGCGCTTGGAAGGGTCCGTCACTCAAATCAGTCCGTCCGGAAACACGGGCCGTCGTGCTTTCACCGTGGCGCACATTGGAGCTGTTAGCATCTGACATTTCTACACAAATTCAGCGCCATTCGTTTATTATAAAGTTCTCAAAAAACAGCGACGCGGGAGATATGAGTGAACCGTTTGTCTAAAGCGCCTCGGTTTTACAGGTAAGTTTTTTTTTAGACTATAAAAATGCCTAACTTAGCACGATGCTAAATGCTGCGCGCTAACTCATTGAATTAAAATTATGAATTCCGCGCGATATTAAATAAAACTGTTATTCTTGATTTTTTATTTTGTACACTGCTGGTTTTAGATGTTTTTTTACTGCTCGGAATATTCTTTTATTACCACAGTGGGATAAAGATTTTGGTTTTAAGAAGCCATGGAAATTCTCAATATAATAAAGTGACCGGATGTTCCTTTTTACCCAATTTTGATTTTGATTTTGAATTTTGATTTATTAAAAAAAAAAAAACACACACAGATTTGTCCCGGTTTTATACAAGAAATGTCCCAGGTGTCTCTATTTTGGACCAGTCTGAATCCAACAATAAAGAAAACATACATCAAACTCAAATTCACAGAGGTCAAAACTAAAAACTGGGACTAAGTCGTGGGTCAAACTAAATATTTATTGAAAATTTTTAACGACATCTGCAAACAAACGTCGTGAATTTAGAGAAAAGTAATGTAAAAGTAAATGAACAAGCAAAATATAAAATAAAATGATAACAAATTTTAAAATAAATAATGTCTCTGTAGCCCACCTGTAGCTTTTGAACTCCTTTTAAATGTTTTTTTGTTTGTTTGTTTGTTTTTTCACAAGCCAACAACCAGTCAAAATGTGCCAACACATTTGCAAAGCATTCTGGGATTTGTAATATCACGCGCGCGCCATCAATCAATCAGTCAAAAAAAAAAAAAAAAAGCAACACAAAGCGCTTTACGGTGATTAAAAACAATTCCACATTTCCTTCCAAACTCCCACAAAGCTAAGATAAACTCGTCGGTCTTGAGATGACTCTCTGTGGTATAACTATGTATTTTACTACTAAATATCTGGAATCTGGAACACTAACTATCTGGAACCAGTACAAAAAGGAAAAAAAAGTAATGGCATGGCAGATAGAGGGCCAGCTCTAGTACAGATTTGATATGATATTGTGGGCCAAATTTGATGAAAGCTCCTTTAAAAATGACCAAAACACAAAGAAAATGTGACTAATACTGACTCACATGCTGAAAAATTTTACCAACACAAACCAGCGATGTCCCAGTTTTTTATTTTGAAAATCTGGTCACCCAAGTCAAATAACTGCGGTTTGGATTTAGATTCTGTCAGGATTGCAGTTGGAACCAGAACATCTGAGAGAAAACTGAAATCTTTACTGCTTTAATCCAAGAATCACATGTATTTCAGAACATGTTTGGAACTACAGGGTCTGCATCTTTTACACAGAATAACATCCCATGTTTATAGTGACCAGATGTCCCTGTTTCCCCAGGACAGTCCCAGTTTTGAGTCCTGTGTCCCCTGTCCCAGCAGATTTATCATCAGAGTAATAATAGAACAATCGACATGATCATCGATGGTTCTGATGGGAAGATTTATATTGACCAAATGAATGATTAAGTATTTGAATGTTTGTGATATCATCATAAACTGTGAATTTATTAACGTGGAGTTAAAAGGTCGGATTAAAAGAAAAAGTAGACACTTCGCCTAAATTTTTTTTATTTTTTTAACAAGAAATATATTAGACCAGGGGAAACACTGTGTTGTCAAATTTGTGTATTTAGTAATATTGTTTATTTAATGACATCATGAAATATTGGTACATTTTATTGATGTCGTGGGCTGCTGTATCAATGTATCGCCAAGAATATTTTTTTTTAATATATTTTACTAAATTATTTTGTTACAACTGCAGTTTTGTTGTTTGTTCAGAGGGAAGGAAACTCGTTCATGCGACACGTTTGACATTTTCACTGTTTTGACGATTAAAATGTTTGTATTTCATATGAACTTTGCACAAGAAGAAGTGGTTTAACAAAGACTTTAGTGTCACAGCCGTGGTTTAGACTTAATTTTTTATTGGACCGTATCGAATTGATTTGAAATTTATCGTATTGAACGATATTGAAGTAAAGAGACTTGTAATTTGATATTGTGATGGTCCACGTTATTATTGTGAGAACTTTGACGATACGATATCACCATATTTCGATTATTGTTACATCCCTAAAAGTTACACAGTGCAGCTTTAAACTAATGAACCTCTTTGCTGTTTCTCTTCTACAGTGATGTCTTTCCACCAGGAGCGCGGCGGGGGCAGCGGGTCCCAGCAGCACGGCTCCTCTCAGCCGTACCACGCCCCGAACCTCCACCCTCCTCCCCCGACCCCGCCCGGCGTCCCCCCTCCCCTCTGCCTCCGTCCTACCCCTACGACCCACAATGCCCCTCCGCTCACCCTCCGCCGGGCTACCCCTACGGCATGCCGCCCCCCCACGCCGACTTCATGCAGTACCCGCCTCCCCCGTCGCTCCCTCCCCTCCTCCCTCCTCCTCCTCCTCCTCCTCCTCCTCGCAGTCCAACCCCCTCAGACCGCCCTTCCCCAAAACCGCGATTCGCCAAGGTTTCCCGGACACCGCGCCCAACTTCCCGCCGCCTCCTCTCCATCAGAACCCGTATAACCCGTACATGATGCCGCCGCCGCCCTTACCGCCGCCGCCGCAGTCCGTAAACTACCCGCCGCCCTATTACCCGCCTCACCCGCCCTTCCCGCCGCCCCAGTTCAACCCGGGATACCCCCAGAGCCAAGGCCCGCCCAAACCGGACCCCGGCTATCGTCACGGGAGCCACTTCAAGTACGAGAAAGCGCAGGAGGGCGGCAGGCGGTCGCCGGAGAGGGGGTACAGGCACGACGAGCACCGGCAGAAGGGCTACGGGGGTTACGGAGGAGGAGGAGGCGGGGACAGGCACAAGGCGGAGTTCGGGCGAGGGGACGGGAAGGAGAGGGGGAGGAGTCCGGACAGACGCGGCAGACCGGAGAGCGGGCGTTTCCGGCAGGAGTACGACCGAGGACGGACCCCGCCGCGGCACCGGAGCAGAGACAGGAGCAGGTGAGGCGGGAAAAGTGACAAAAATACAACTAATATTTATTTTAGACGGACAAAATTATAATTTATTTTGTTTTTTTTTTATTAATCAATTCTAGTTTTATACACATACATACATATAAACGTATATATACATACATACATATTTACACACATACATACATATATACACACATACATACATATATACACACATATACATATATTTTCCTCCCGTTTATGGTCGTACAAACTAATAATAGTGTTAACAAAGGGACGAAATTTTATCGTTTATGATCATGCAAAACAACAATGTAAATGAAAAGATATAAGGGTTATTTGTTTATCGTTTATAGTCTTACAAACTAATAATAATGTTAACGAAAGCGTAAAAGTTTATCGTTTATGATCGTGCGAAATAAACTACAATGAGAATTTTTATAAGGACATTTTGTTTTCGTTTATAGTCGTACAAACTAATAATTATTATTATATTATTAGTTTGTACAAAATGATTATTTCTGTTGCACATTGAGACTTTTTAAACACATTAACGTTCAAACACAAGTAAATAAAGGTTAAAATATGACTGAAGTCTTGCAAATTAACACAATTATTAATGAAAATCTGAAATTGTCTTTGTTATTTTGACCATTTGATGTCATAATCCAGTTATTTTTGTTTTACAGGTTTAGGTTTTTTAGATTTTTTAATAGTGGACTAGTAGTTGTTTGGCTGATTGATTTTATTCGTTTTTATTTCGACTTTGTGCTGAAAGAGAAACAATAATCATACACACTACATAAATATTATAAACGAGAGAAAAGCACATTTTTCGAAAAGGGGCGGGAAGAAGAAAAATTTTTATTAACCCCCCTCTATTCATTACATACTCTAGTTTAAAAAATTACAAGAAACTTTACAAATATTTACATTCGGCAAAATAAATTACACACTCTACATACTAAATATAAATTTTAACCCAATTTCCTTCTTTTTTTGTTTTGTACTGTATTATGTTATTATTATTATTATTATTTTATCTGTATTTTTTTTTATTTATTTATTTAAATATTTATATATATATATTTTATAATTTTTTAGATTCATCCAGCGCTGTCACTCACCCTTACACCATGAAAGCAGAAACTCTGTATACTTTTTTTTTTATTTTTATTGACCCCTTCCCTTTAAATCATAGTGTACTGTATTTTTCGGATTATAAGTCGCACCAGCTAAAAAATGCACAATGAAGAAGAAAAAAACATATAAGTCGCGTTTTTGGAGGGGAAATGTGCTTTATAAAATCAGAGACCAGGAGCAGACATTTCCTGTGTAAAGTGAAGTTGTAGTAAAAACAATAGAAGAGAGAACAACAGACTGTTAACGTCACATATTTCACAGTTCTTCAGATAAACTATAACATAAACAACAGAACAAGTTTAACCAAACTCTCCATCTCACTCCAAATCACTAAATCCATTTAATTCTTCATCCTCGGTGTCACTTCTGAACAACTCAGCCTCGACCTCCGGAGGTAAACGGAGCGCCGCAACAGTTCCAGTTAGATTTATTCTGGTCTTTCTGAATCCCGACAGGATGGTTTCGGTGTCACTGAAGTCCAGACTTTGTCCGTCCGTCCAGTGACTTCAGGAAAGTTTCATGGTTCATCCTCCCGGTGTCACAAGTTTCTCTCTCACTCCAAACTTTCTTTCTGCTGCTCGATTTTCATTTTCAGCTGCAGATTTCACGACTTGCAGTTTGTAAATCTGCAGAATCTGATTTAGTTTTTGGGGGCATTTGTGTTCAGTCGTCTCAGTCTTTGTCGTTATAAGTTTAAATGTTAAATTGTTCAGCGGTGCAGAAGTAACGGTGCGATCGACTGACACGATACAGACAGAACAGAGGCTCTTTCTGCAGGAGACATGCGTAGAAAACTCACACACAAGACTAGAACCTCTCCACACTTCACTCAAACATTTTAATATATAAATCACACCGGAAACAACCAAACTGTGAAAAAAAGTGACACTTATAGTCCAAAAAATACTGTACTTTTTGTGGATTGAACAGTTTTTGGATATTGAATGACAGTATATTTTAACCTTAGACTTTAAAGTAAGAGCTTAAAACGCTCTATATGTTTTGTAATGTTTTTACAAAGAAAACCGGCTCCTACTCATTTTGAGAGAGGGCCAAGTCATTTTGTAACAGCAGCATATGTCAAGATTTAATACTAGTCTTGAATTAAACTCGTCTGTTAAAAGTTTTGTTTTGTTTTGTGTTTTTCAGGGAGAGGTATCGCCACAGAGACAGCCGCAGGTCCCAGTCTCCAGACAGACACAGGAAAAGGCCCAGAAGGTAAATAATACAACAGTTTAGTTTTACAGCTCATAATAAGAAGAACCATCACCAAACTTTTTTTTTTTTCTGTGATGGCATATTTTTTACTCAAATACTTACGATAAAACTACACTTAAACATACAATAAATAAAAAAATCTGTAACTATAACTCATTTCTCTCTGTTTAAATTGGTATTTTAACCCTTCCAGACCAAAGAACAATTTTAGTACATTTGTCCTCGCCTGGATTTTTTCTTAATTTTGCGATTAAAACTCCCCCTTTTACCCCCTAATGAAGTGTTATACATCCTTTTTTTCAGTACAACCTGTTATTTCACAATCTGCTGCTGTAGTTGTGTCATATGGCTGTAATAAAAACTACAGAACCAGAAATACAAATAATACAAAAAAAAAAAAAAAACGGAAAATAAAATTAACACTCTTTCATACAAAACACACACAAACATGTATAAACAACTTTTTGGACATTAATACCATCGGTCTGGAAGGGTTAAATTATTGAAAGAGGGTGGGATTATTAAATTTAGATTAAAGATACAGTACGTAACTTTCTGGAAGTGGCATGTCACCTGCCTGATTCTGCAGAAATAGTTAAAAAGTTAAAGCCGCACTTCAGAGCATTCTACACAGAGATAGATATTTATAGATATTTTTTATGCCGTACCGTGGAAGTTTATAGCCAAAGGAACAACATCACCATGGAAACAAGCAGCAGGCCAAATAGGAGTCAGGTTTGTGGAGATGCGAACAACAATAGTCCTGTTACAGACCTGATTTAGCCCAACATTAGACCTGGAATAGTTTTAGTGTAGACCTGATTTAGTCCTAGATTAGACCTGGAATAATCCTGGTATAGACCTGGTTTAGTCCTAGATTAGACCTGGAATAGTTTTAGTGTAGACCTGATTTAGTCCTAGATTAGACCTGGAATAGTTTTAGTGTAGACCTGATTTAGTCCTAGATTAGACCTGGAATAATCCTGGTATAGACCTGGTTTAGTCCTAGATTAGACCTGGAATAGTCCTAGATTAGACCTGGAGTAGTCCTAGATTAGACCTGGAAGTAGTCCTGGTATAGACCTGGTCTAGTCCTAGATTAGACCTGGAATAGTCCTGTTATAGACCTGGTTTAGTCCTGATATAGACCTGGTTTAGTCCTAGATTAAACTTGGAATAGTCCTGGTTATAGACCTGGTTTAGTCCTAGATTAGACCTGGAATAGTCCTGATTACCTAGATTAGACCTGGAATAGTCCTGTTATAGACTTGGTTTAGTCCTGGATTAGACCTGGAATAGTCCTGATATAGACCTGGTTTAGTCCTAGATTAAACTTGGAATAGTCCTGGTTTAGCCCAAGATAAGACCTGGAATAGTCCTTTTACAGAACTGATTTAGTCCTGGTATAGACCTGATTTAGTCCTAGATTAGACCTGGAATAGTCCTGGTATAGACCTGGAATAGTCCTGGTATAGACCTGATTTAGTCCAAGATTAGACCTGGAATAGTCCTGGTATAGTCAGGTTTGTGGAGATGCGAGCCCGCTCACAGTAAAGATTCATGCTTTTCTTCGTGTTTCGGTGCCACAAACACAATTAAAAAAACACAAAAACAGACTTTTATTTTAGTCTGTTTTTGGCAAAAAGTTACACACTGTGGCTTTAATACAGTTATAACAAAACCTCATCATCATCAACATATTTCTGTTTAGTAATTTTAAAGCTGAATTTGGTTTATTTCTTCTCTTTTTTTTTCAGCCGTTCCTCCAGCCGTGATCGTAAACGTGGGCGGTGGGAGGACGAGAGGGACAAGCGCTCCGACAGTTCCTCCTCCAAAGACAGGGGGCACTGTTCCTCCCGGAGCCGAGACTTGGAGGACGGCTCCGCGGACCGAGAGAGGGAGCGGGAGAGGGAGAGAGAGCGGGAGAAAGAGAGGGAGCGGGAGAGGGAGAAAGGAGAGGAGGAGAAGGAGAAGGAGAAGGAGGAGGAGGAGCTGCTCAAACCTGCCTGGATCCGCTGCACTCACGCCGAGAACTACTACTCCAACGACCCCATGGACCAAGTGGTAATGCAGACTTAAAGCTTCACTGTGTAACTTTTCTCAGGCAGCGTTAAGCTTACCTGTATCCATGGAGGCGAGCCGGCCAAGGGACAGATCGGGTCGGCGGAGAGGCGAGCCCACTCACGCAGGATTTATGTCGTGTTTAAGAGATAAATTTAGTTTTAAACAAGAGATTATCCAAGATACAAATGGAAATGATGTAGTCCACTTTTAGACCTGGTGTAGTCCAAGATTAGTCCTGGTATAGACCTGGTTTAGTCCTAGATTAGACCTGGAATAGTCCTGGTTTCGTCCTGGAAAAGACCTGGTTTTGTCCTAGATTAGACCTGGAATAGACCTGATTTAGTCCTGATTTCGACCTGGTTTAGACCCGGTTTAAGTGTGGACTAGTCCTGGTATAGACCTAGTTTAGTCCTAGATTAGACCTGGAATAGTCCTGGAAGAGACCTAGTTTAGTCCTAGATTAGACCTGGAATAGACCTGGAATAGTCCTGGAATAGTCCTGGAAGAGACCTAGTTTAGTCTTAGATTAGACCTGGAATAGACCTGGAATAGACCTGGAATAGTCCTGGAAGAGACCTAGTTTAGTCCTAGATTAGACCTGGAATAGACCTGGAATAGTCCTGGAAGAGACCTAGTTTAGTCTTAGATTAGACCTGGAATAGTCCTGCTTTAGACCTGGTTTAGACCTGGAATAGTCCTGTTACAGACCTGGTTTGGTCCTAGATTAGACCTTGAATAAACCTGTTATAGACCTAGGTTAGTCCTGGAATAGTCCTGGTTTATACCTGGTTTAGTCCTAGATTAGACCTGGAATAGACCTGATTCAGCCCTGAAATAGTCCTGGAATAGTTCTGGAATTAGACCTGGAATATACCTGGTTTTAGACCTGGTTTAGTCCTAGATTAAACCTGGTTTAGTCCTGGAATAGTCCTGGTTTAGATCTGGTTTAGTTTTGATTAGACCTGGAATAGTCCTGGTATAGTCCTGAAATAGACCTGGTTTAGACCTAGTTTAGTCCTGGTATAGACCTGGAATAGACCTGGTTTAGTCCCTTCTTTTCTCGTACTTGTTGTGAAAAGTTTTTTGTGTTTTTTGTGTGTTTTTCAGGGCGACTCTACGGTAGTGGGGACGAGTAAACTGCGAAATCTTTACGAGCGTTTCGAGGAGGAGCTGGGGAAGAGGCAGGAGCGAGCGAAAGAAGCACGACCGAAATGGGAACCTCCAAAAACCAAACTGGACGAAGATCACGGTCAGAAACTTATTATTTAAAAAAACATCTCAAATCATAGCTCCAACCTATCAGGGCCAGGTTTATGAATGAAGTAAATGTTTAATTTTGTGGAAAAAAGAGAAGAGAATTTCAATCATAACCACTAAATCTTAAAAAAAACATAAATTAATTGCACATCTTTGGCAGATTTATCGTCGTAAACAGCCAAGACACAAATAATTCCAAGTACTATCGCATCTAAATTGTGCAGTTCACTTTCACATTTAGTTTTGAATCATAAATTGTTTAGTATTCATTTATTTTTTTATCCAATTTCCTGAAAGTTTTAGTAAGAGTTCAAACATATTAAATTTCTGCATGTATATAACAAAGTGTCCACTAGATGGAGCCATTGCTACTTTAACGAGACAGGACCAGAGCTGAAAATGTTCAGTTTGGGAGCTTTTTGTGCAAATTAAATGTATAAAAAGTGTAAATTCTGCTTGTGTTCCGTGCAGAGGGCAGCAGCAGCGAGTCCGAGTGCGAGTCTGACGCCGAGGGAAGCTCCTGCTCCTCCTCCTCGGACTCTGAAGTGTTCGACGTCATCGCAGAAATCAAGAGGAAGAAGGCTCATCCGGACAGACTGCACGAAGAGCTGTGGTACAACGACCCCGGACAGGTGAGGAGGCGGGGACAGGTGAGGAGGCGGGGACAGGTGAGGAGGCGGGGGCAGGGACAGGTGAGGAGGCGGGGACAGGTGAGGAGGCGGGGGCAGGTGAGGAGGCGGGGGCAGGTGAGGAGGCGGGGGAGGGGGGACAGGTGAGGAGGCAGGGACAGGTGAGGAGGCGGGGACAGGTGAGGAGGCAGGCGGGGGACAGGTGAGGAGGCGGGGGCAGGTGAGGAGGAGGACGGGGACAGGTGAGGAGGGGACAGTGAGGAGGCGGGGACAGGTGAGGAGGCGGAGGACAGGTGAGGAGGCGAGGACAGGTGAGGAGGCAGGGACGGGGACAGGTGAGGAGGCGGGGACGGGGACAGGTGAGGAGGCGGGGGCAGGTGAGGAGGCGGGGGCAGGTGAGGAGGGGGGGGACAGGTGAGGAGGCGGGGACAGGTGAGGAGGCGGGACAGGTGAGGAGGCGGGGACAGTGAGGAGGCAGGCAGGGCAGGGACAGGTGAGGAGGCGGGGCAGGTGAGGAGCGGGGACAGGTGAGGAGGCGGGAGGCAGGTGAGGAGGCAGGGGGGCAGGTGAGGAGGCGGGGGCAGGTGAGGAGGCGGGGGCAGGTGAGGAGGCGGAGGCAGGGACAGGTGAGGAGCCGGGGACAGGGACAGGTGAGGAGCCGGGGACAGGGACAGGTGAGGAGGCGTGGACAGGGACAGGTGAGGAGGCAGGGACAGGGACAGAGGAGGCGGGGGCAGGTGAGGAGGCGGGGACAGGGACAGGTGAGGAGGCAGGGACAGGGACAGGTGAGGAGGCAGGGACAGGGACAGGTGAGGAGGCAGGGACAGGGACAGGTGAGGAGGAAGGGACAGGTGAGGAGGCGGGGACAGGTGAGGAGGCGGGGACAGGTGAGGAGGCGGGGACAGGTGAGGAGGGGGGACAGGTGAAGAGGCAGGAGCAGGTGAAGAGGCAGGGACAAGGACAGGGGAAGAGGGAAGAGTAAATATCAACTAAACCAGGTCTAAACCAGGTCTAAACCAGGTCTAAACCAGGTCTAAACCAGGTCTAAACCAGGTCTAAACCAGGTCTAGGACTCAAACCTGGACTCAAACCTGGACTCAAACCTGGACTCAAACCTGGACTCAAACCTGGACTCAAACCTGGACTCAAACCAATCACTTACAACCGGGACTACAACCGGGACTAAACCAGTAACTAAACCTGGACTAAAACTGGGACATCCAGGTTTAGTCACTGGGACTAAAACCTGGATTAAACCAGAACTAAACCAATCACTAGAACCAGGCCTAGAACCAGGCCTAGAACCAGGCCTAGAACCAGGCCTAGAACCAGGCCTAGAACCAGGACTAGAACCAGGACTGAACTTGAACTTGTTGTGTGTGTTTAGTTTTCGTGCCCTGTTACATACTTCTGTTGTGTTTTCCTGTTGTGTTGTTGTGTTTTTATGCTCTCTTACTCTTGTTTGTTTGTCTTGTGTGTTTTTTTTTCCTGTCGTGTTTTGTTGCAGATGAACGACGGGCCGTTGTGTAAGTGCAGCGCCAAGGCCAGACGCACTGGGATCCGCCACAGCATCTACCCCGGAGAGGAGGTGAGTCACACGTCCACAGACCAGGTCCAGACCTTCACATCAGACCAAGACCAAGGACGGACTTTTACCATGAACTCTTTCAGGGAGGTCGCTGTGTCCAGGTCCAGAGACTGTTTTGAGTAGAAAGTTGACAGTTTTTGTTAGATCTGACAGAGAACTGACTCTAGATCTCTTCTTTTTTTTGTCAATTAATTTTTATAGAAGATTTTGCACAATAATAGAACAAAAACAAGTCCTAGATATACACACATTTCTGCCTTCTCTCTCTCTTTCTCCCCTCTCCTCTCCTGTATGGTTTAGTCCTGATTTAGTCCTGATTCAGTCCTGGTTCAGTCCTGGTTTAGCCCTGGTTCAGACCTGTTTTAGACCTGTTTTAGACCTGTTTTAGTCCTATTCTAGACCTGATTTAGACCTGGTTTAGTCCTGGTTTATAACCGTTTTAGCCCTGTTTTAGATCTCTTTTAGACATTGGTTTACTTCTCTTTTAGTCCTGGTTTGGTCCTGCTTTAGTCCTGTTTAAGATCTATTTTAGACCTGGTTTTGTCGTGTTTTAGGTTTAGACCTAGTTTAGACATGTTTTAGTCCAGCTTTAGACCTGTTTTAGTCCAAGGTTTTAGATCATTATTAGACCTAGGTTAGACCTGTTTTAGACCTGTTTTAGACCTAGGGTTAGACCTGTTTTAGACCCAGTTTAGTCCTGTTTTAGACCTGTGTTAGACCTGTTTTAGACCCAGTTTAGTCCTGTTTTAGACCTGGGTTAGACTTGTTTTAGACCTAGGGTTAGACCTGTTTTAGACTCAGTTTAGTCCTGTTTTAGACCTGGGTTAGTCCTGGGTTAGTCCTGTTTTAGACCTGTTTTAGACCTGTTTTAGACCTAGGCTTAGACCTGTTTTAGACCTGGTTTAGGCCTAGGGTTAGACCTGGTTTAGACCTGGTTTAGTCCTGGTTTAGACCTGGTTTAGTCCTGGTTTAGACCTGGTTTAGTCCTGGTTTAGTCCTGGTTTAGTCCTGTTTTAGACCTGGGTTAGACCTGTTTTAGACTCAGTTTAGTCCTGTTTTAGACCTGGTTTAGTCCTGTTTTAGACCTGGGTTAGTCCTGTTTTAGACCTGTTTTAGTCCTGTTTTAGACCTGGTTTAGACCTGGTTTAGACCTGGTTTAGACCTGGTTTAGACTGGTTTAGACCTGTTTTAGACCTGTGTTAGTCCTGGTTTAGACCTGGTTTAGACCTGGTTTAGACCTGGTTTAGACCTGGTTTAGACCTGGTTTAGACCTGGTTTAGACCTGGTTTAGACCTCTCCTTTTTCTCTCTTCTTGCTTTCACTTCTCACCCTTTTCCTCTGTCCTCACTTCCTTTTACTGTCACTCTCCTCCTTCCCCCTCTCCTTTTTCACCCTCCCCTTCTCTCCTTTCTTCTGTCTCCTCCCTCTCTCTTTCTTCACCTCTCCTCCTCCTCTCTCTCTCTCTCTCTCTCTCTCTCTCTCTCTCCGTCTGTCTGTTTTTGTGTCCGTTTTGCGTCTCCTTCTTGACTTTTCTCAGCCTGGAGCACATTATTTTGAGGTGTTGACAGTTCATCGATGCTCTGAGTCCTGGATTATGGAGAGGAGCTTTTTCACACCTCTGGATCTGCTCAGAGGAACAAACGTCACATTTTACCCCCCACATGTGGTTTATGAAAGGTCTAAACCGGGTCTAAACCGGGTCTAAACCGGGTCTAAACCGGGTCTAAACCGGGTCTAAACCAGGTCTAAACCAGGTCTAAATCAGGACTTTACCACATCTAAACCTAGTCTAAATCAGGACTAAATGAGGGACTAAACCAGGACCGAACCAGGACCAAACCAGGACTAAACCGGGGACTAAACCAAGTCTAAATCAGGACTAAACGAGGGACTAAACCAGGACCAAACCAGGTCTAAATCCAGGACAAAATCAGACCTAAACTAGAACTAAACCAGGGACTGAACCGGGGAACTAAACTGGATATAAACAAGGATTTTACCAGGTCTAAACCAGGTCTAAAACCAGGGACTAAATCAGGACTAAAACTACAGATAAACCAGGGACTAAACCAGGATTAAATGAGGACTAAACCAGGGACTAAACCAAGGCAGAACCAGGAATAAATCAGGGACTAAACCGGAAATAAACCAGAACTTTACCACATCTAAACCAGGGACTGAACCGGGACTAAACCAGGGACTAAACCAGGACTAAAACTATACTGTTTACTGCAATATATAATAAAATATTTTCTGTCTGTTTTTCAGCCTGTGAAACTTTGTCGTCCGATGAACAACAACGCAGGAAAACTGTTCCACTACAGGATCACCGTGTCTCCGCCCACTAACTTCCTGGTATCAAAACATTTTTTAAATATTCAAGTACTTTTCCCTTAACCATTAAGTGTTATTATTTCAATCTGATGTTTTTTTTTTATTAAAGACAATAGAATATAACATTTTTAACAAAGTATAATAATAAACATTAAAACAAAAAACATAAAACAAAACAAAACTCTTCACCCTCACTCCATTTTTAATAAACATATTTGGTCACTGTACTGAACTAATATTATTTTCACCATCATAAACCTGGACTAAAACAGATCTAAACCAGGACTAAACCAGATCTGAACCAGGATTAAACCAGGACTGAACCACGTCTAAATCGGGACTAAAATGGGACTAAATCAGGACTAAATCAGGACTAAAGCAGGACTAAAGCAGGACTAAAGCAGGACTAAAGCAGGACTAAGCAGGACTAAAGCAGGACTAAAGCCTACACCAGGCCTGAAGCAGGACCGAAGCCAGGACCGAAGCCAGGACCGAAGTCAGGACTAAAAACTAGAACTAAAACTAGAACTAAAACAAAGTCTAAAAAGTTCTAAAACAGGACTAAAACAGGACTGAACCAGGTCTAAACCAGGTCTAAACCAGGTCTAAACCAGGTCTAAACCAGGTCTAAACCAGGACTAAACCAGGACTAAACCAGGACTGAACCACGTCTAAATCGGGACTAAAATGGGACTAAATCAGGACTAAATCAGGACTAAAGCCTACACCAGGACCGAAGCCAGGACCGAAGCCAGGACCGAAGCCAGGACCGAAGTCAGGACCGAAGTCAGGACCGAAGTCAGGACCGAAGCCAGGACCGAAGCCAGAACCGAAGCCAGGACTAAAACTAGAACTAAAACTAGAACTAAAACAAAGTCTAAAAAGGTCTAAACCAAGACTAAAAAAGGACTAAATCAGGACTAAAACAGGAATGAACCAGCTCTAAGCCAGGTCTAAGCCAGGTCTAAACCAGGTCTAAGCCAGGTCTAAACCAGGTCTTAAACTAGGTCTAAAACAGGACTAAAACAGGACTAAAACAGGTCTAAACCAGGTCTAAACCAGGTCTAAAAAAGGACTAAACCAGGTCTAAACCAGGATTAAACCAGGACTAAACCCTACAGGACTGAACCAGAACTAAAACAAGATCTAAGAAAAGTCTAAATCAGGACTAAAACGGGTCTAAACCAAAACGGGTCTAAACCTAAAACCTCAACATCACAAGATGGAACAGAGCATTTTGAGAGACTAATAAAAAGGAGAATGAAACAAAACACACCTCCAGCTCTGTTTTTGACGAAGAAACATTAAAACACGACTTAAACCTCACAAGAGTCCTGTTAAAGCTTCTATACTCCTCAAAATTCAGTGTACTATAACATTAATAATCATCCTTGTTGTTGTTTTTTTGTTTCAGACGGACCGGCCCACGGTGATCGAGTACGACGATCACGAGTACCTGTTTGAAGGCTTCTCCCTGTTCTCTCACACGCCGCTCACTAACGTAAGCCCCTCGTTTCCCCCGCAGCAGGATCCTATACGGCCCGGGCATTAATATTACACCTCCAGAACAGACGAGATCTCCGACAGCTCGAGCCAAAGCCGCCGCGCGCCTCGTTTCCACCGCTGTTTCTGCTTTTATATTTCATATTCTCCTAATTTATTGATCCCGCTCCGCTCGCACCTGCCTTCACCTCGTCGTCAGCTGTCAGGAGATGAATTGTTTAAAAGTCGAGCTCGGTAAAGTATTCACGGGGTACACAGAGTCAGAGGGGCGGACGGAGGGATCGACCTGTCCGAAATGTCCCGCAGTGTGGCATTAAACAGCTCTACGTTATGTTTATTTTACGGATCAGAAATGCGGAGAAAAGTAGACGTTCTGGACTGTGAGCGGCGTCGCCTCTACGCAGATCTGACCTGGAATGTGGTCTTGGTCTGGTTTGGTTTCTCTGGAGATAGAAAGGTTTAATGCCATACTGTGGAATTTTACAGACGAAGCAATAACATCCAGGTCTAAATTAGGACTTGACCAGGAGAGAAACCGAGGTCTGAACCAGGTCTAAACCTAAACCTGGGACTAAACCTGGGACTAATCCTGGGACTAATCCTGGGACTAATCCTGGGACTAAACCTGGGACTAAACCTGGGACTAATCCTGGGACTAATCCTGGGACTAAACCTGGGACTAAACTGAGGACTAAACCTGGGACTAAACCAGTATCTAAACTAGGGACTAAGCTGGGACAAAGCAGGTCTAAACCTGGTCTAAACTAGGGACTAAATTAGGGACTAAACTAGTGACAAACCAGGTCTACACCAGGACTAAACCAGGGTCTAAACCAGGGTCTAAACCAGGGACTAAACTGGGACAAACCTGGTCTAAACCTGGTCTAAATTAGGGACTAAATTAGGGACTAAACTAGTGACAAACCAGGGTCTAAACTAGGGTCTAAACTAGGGACTAAACTAGGGACTAAACTAGGGACTAAACTAGGGACTAAAGTAGGGACTAAAGTAGGGACTAACCAGGCCTAAAGCAGGACTTTACCGGCACTAAAAAAGGGACTAAACCAGGTCTAAATGAGGTCTAAACTAGGACTTTACCGGCACTAAACCAGGGACTAAACCAGGACTAAATCAGGGTCTAAACCAGGGACTAAACTGGGACTAAACCTGGTATGAACTAGGGACTAATCTAGGGACTAAACTAGGGCCTAAACCAGGCCTAAACTTGGACTATACCGGCCTAAACCAGGCCTAAACCAGGCCTAAACCAGGCCTAAACCAGGCCTAAACCAGGCCTAAACCAAGTCTAAACCAGGTCTATCCTTGTCTTTATAAACATTGCTCTTGTCTCGTCTCCTCTGAGCCTTTGGAAAATGGAGCACAGTAAAGTTACAAATGGTTCTAAAAATAAACACAAAAGTTCTGTATTTTCACCCGACTTTCACCCTCTGCGGCTTTACCGTTTATTTTACCCTCTACCCTTTCTTTCTCTTTTTATTCTGCTCTATCCTTTTCTCTGACTCGCTCCCTCTTTTGTCTCTTCCTCTCTCTCTCTCTCTATTGCTTCTCTCTCTCTTTCTCTTCTGCTTCATCCCTTTCTCTGACTCGCTCTTTTCATTTTTTTCCTCCCACTCATCTCCTCCCTCTTTTGTCTGCCTCTTCCTCTCTTTAGACTCTTTCTTTGTCCTCTCTCACTGCTCTCTCTCTCTCTACCTTCTCTCTCTTCTCTTTCTCTCCATTGTTCTGTTTTTCTCTCTCGCCCCTTTTTAGTCTTTCGTTAAAACACAATTAATATTTGACAAATCGTATCGATCTGTAAAAACTCTCTAATTGTGATTTTTCTGACACGCTTTTCAATTGTGATTAAATTATTATTATTTATTTAAGTTATTTAAGTTTTAATAAAAGGATTCTGTTCATATTTTAAACACGTCCACAAGAATCGACAAAAACACAGTAAGATAATCACATTTAAGGAGAATAAGAAGTTTGTTGGAAAAAATATGGTAACCTAAAGCAGCACTGTGTAACTTTTCGGTTGGCGGGGTTCGTCACTTGCTTGTTTCTATGGATACGTCATTGCTGAGCCTGGAATGTTCCACAGTGTGACAACAGGTGCAGGTTTTATAGCTCAAAAATACCTAGAAAAACGGGCTTTCTGACTACCTGGTTTAGATCTTGGTTTAGTCCTGGTTTGGACCTGGTTTGGACCTGGTTTAGAGAGAAAGAGAGAGAGCTGAGAGAAAGAGACAGAAAAGAGGCAGAGAAAAAGAGAGAGATAAAGAGAGAGACAGAGAGCTGTAAGAAAGAGAGAGACGGGGAGCTGAAAGAAAGAGAGAGAAAGAGACAGAGAGAAAGAGACCGAGAGAAAGAGAGAGAAGAGAGTGAGAGCAGAGAGAAAGAGTGAGCGCAGAGAGAAAGAGAGAGAGAGCAGAGAGAAAGAGTGAGAGCAGAGAGAAAGAGTGAGAGCAGAGAGAAAGAGTGAGAGCAGAGAGAAAGAGTGAGAGCAGAGAGAAAAGAGAGTGCTGAGAGACAGAGAGAGAGAGCTGAGAGAAAGAGAAAGAGAGAGAGAGAGAGAAGAGAGAGAGAGCTGAGAGAGAGAGAGAGTTGAGAGAAAGAGAGAGAGAAGAGTGAGAGCAGAGAGAGAGAGAGTGAGAGAGAGAGAGAGAGAGAGTGAGAGCAGAGAGAGAGAGAAAGAGAGAGAAGCTGAGAGAAAGAGAGAGAGAGCTGAGAGAAAGAGAGAGAGAGAGAGAGAGAGAGAGCTGAGAGAAAGAGAGAGAGCTGAGAGAAAGAGACATTGAGTGAGCGGGGTCGCCTCTCCACAGATCTCAACTGTCTCCATGGAGATCGAAAGGTTTAATGCCATACTGTGGAACATTCCAGACGAGAGAACAACATCTCCCAGCGTAAAAAGCGTTTAACGGACCCTCCGCCAGAAAAGTTACACAGTGCAGCTTTTAAAAATTGCAGCTTTTGTTAATTGCGTCCATTCAAATTTGTATTCATATTTTGCTTGTTTTGTAGGTTATATGTACTTTATTTGTACTTTTTCTCCCTCCTCTCCTCTTCCTCTTTTCTCTCTGTCCCCTCTCTCTCTCTCTCTTCTTCTTCTCTCTGTCCCCTCCTCTCTCTCTCTCTCTCTTCTCTTCTCTTCTCTCTCTCCTCTCTCTCTCTCTCTCTCTCTCTCTCTCTCTCTCTCTCTCTCTCTCTCTTCTCTCTCTTCTCTCTCTCTGTCCTCTCCTCTCTCTCTCTCTCTCCTCTTCTCTTCTTTTCTCTCTGTCCCCTCCTCTCTCTCTCTCTCTCTCTCTCTCTCTCTCTCTCTCTCTCTCTCTCTCTCTCTCTCTCTCTCTCTCTCTCTCCTCTTCTCTTCTTTTCTCTCTGTCCTCTCCTCTCTCTCTCTCTCTCTCTCTCTCTCTCTCTCTCTCTCTCTCTCTCTCTCTCTCTCTCTCTCTCTCTCTCTCTCTCTCTCTCTCTTCTCTCTTCTCTCTCTTCTCTCTCTCTCTCTCTCTCTCTCTCTCTCTCTCTCTCTCTCTCTCTCTCTCTCTCTCTCTCTCTCTCTTCTCTCTCTTCTCTCTCTCTCTCTCTCTCTCTCTCTCTCTCTCTCTCTCTCTCTCTCTCTCTCTCTCTCTTCCTCTTGTCCAGCACATTTATAATTTAGGTCAAACTCTTGAACTCTCGTCTGGCCTCATTCAGAATAACATCCTCTCCAAACGCTCTGTGTCCGTGTCACGAGCTGCTTCTCCCTCTGACCCTCTACTCGACTATTTTATATAAATATTTTTTAAAGTTTGAAGTGGAAATATTAAAGTTATGATTTAAAAATGCTCATACAATTACTACCTACTAACTACTACTTCTACTACTCTGACTCCTGGGAAGCCATTAATATAATGTGTGGGCTTCATGCTCAAGGCCCCCAAATTTCAGTAGTAGTAGTAGTAGTAGTATTAAGATACTACTGCTGCTACGAGTACTACTACCACCACTACTACTACTACTACTACTGATACTATTACTACTACTACTACTACTACTACTACTACTGATACTACTGCTACTGCTACTACTACTACTACTACCGCTACTACTACTACTACTACTACTACTACTACTACTACTACTACTACTACTACTACTACCACCACTACAACTACCACTTCTACTACCACTTCTACCACTACTACTTCTACTACTACTACCACTAGTAGTACTACTGTCACTACTGCCTACTATGTACTACTACCTACTTCTACTACTACCTACTACATACTACCTACTTCTACCTGCTACCACTACTACTACTACTACTACTACTACTATTATTACCATCTACTTCCTACTACCTACTTGTACTACCTACTACTACTACTACTACCTCTTACATACTACTATCTACTACATACTACGTACTTCTACTACTACCTCTTATGTACTACCTACCTCTACTACCTACTGCTAACTACTACTACTACTACCTACTACTGTTACTACTACTACCTGCTACCTACGACGTACTACCTACTAGTACCTACTACTACCACCTACTACCTACTACTACCACCTACGACGTACTACCACTACCACCTGCTACTTTTACTACTACTGCTACTTCTACTATTACTACTACTACCTGCTGCTACTACTACTACCACTACTACTACTACTATGTTCTACTACTACGTACTACTACATACTATAAACTACCTATGACTACTACTACTACTACTACCACCACCTGCTGCTTCTTCTTCTTCCATAATCACATGTGTAGTTTTATTTATATGTTTTTTTCTGTGAATCTCCCGTCGGTGTTGGAGACATTACCAAGGTCATGACTTAAAACCTGCACTTCAGCCCGTGTTTCATCTTAAAGCTCGGCCTGTGCCCAATCGATACGTCCGCCCTAAATAATATACGCCGATTTTTTTATTTTTTTTTGCCTTGAGAGGAGTTTTTTTTATTTATTTATTTTTTTCACCTCTCCGGCTCCTTGAATAA